CAGATAATCACATAGTTATTGTTGTCTCTTATTGTGTCTTGTTTTTTTGGTTGTCATTGTTGTCTGGCCATTGTCTAATTCACCTTTTGTTTGTTCTTGTTATTGTATGTGGTTGTTGTCTTTTTTTTTTTCTTCTTTGATGTTGTCTTGTTGTTTTTTGTGTTGTTTTGTTTTTTGTTTGGGTGTTTTTCACCTTTTGTCTGTTGTTGTCTCTGGTTGTTGCCTTTGTTTTTTGTTTGTTTGTTGTTTTCACTGTTTCTTTGTTGTCTCCCTCTCTGGTTGTTGTGTCTTTTGTTTGATTTCATTGTTTTGGTCTCATGTGTGCTTTCATTTGTTTGCTGTTGTTGTTTACACTTGTTGCTGTGTGCTGCTGTCTTTGTGTTTGCAGCCGGAGTTTTCCCAGGTGTGCCACTCGAAGAAGGACTACGATGAGATCGGCCCGAGCATCTGCCGACACAACCCCGTGTTCGGCATCATGTCCTGATGGCAGAACGTTAGCCTGCTAGCCTGCTAGTCTGTTAGCTTGCAGGCTCTGCAGCTTGCTGGCCTGTTCACCTGCTGTCTGCTAGCCACCAGCCTCTTAGCCATTAGCCTGTTAGCTCTTTGCCCTGTTCAGTTTTTAACCTGTTAGGCAACCGGCCTGCTGGGATGAAGCACACGGAGGTCTGAGGAAAGTGAAGCACAAAGTTTGTTTTGGTTCCTGTTCAGTACATTTCCCCAACAGAGAAATCATCTCACGAAACAACCAACCAGAACATCCAGAAGCAGCGTTTAAAGGAAACCCAGCATCTGTCAGACTCTGACAGGAAATCAGGAATTCACTGACAGAAACACAAAGTGCTGCTGGAGGGTTTCTGCTGAAGCCGACTGCACATAAATGAAACCGGTTTTAGAGAAATGTTGCCGATGGAGGCTGAATCTAAACGTGTTTCTCTGAATCATGCTGCAGGTCAGAGTTCTGCACCACGGAGCCACTTCAGGAAATCCAGGATGTCTTTTCGTTACCTGGCTTCACTAAACCAAACATAAAGCTGGTTATCAACTCTGGAAGTCAATTTAGGGTTTCTGAACCTGAGTCTGAGCATGCTCACCTGAAAGGGGCGGAGCATCAGATGACCGAACTTGGACGGTCTACTGGCACCAAAGGAGAGCAAACGGTCATATTGTAGAGAGCTCAGGTTGAGCTGTGGGGTCCAGTGAAGCTGGATGAAGATAAGAGATCAGGACTGATGGACCTGCTTCATGGTGCAGAGCTCCGGTTCGGCAGCCTGATCCAGACGTATTCACAGGTTCAGCAGCTAAACACCCATCCAAGCCAAGGAATCCATTTCCCTCCTCACATGCTGCTCGTCAATCATCTGCATGTGTCTCTGTTCATGTACAGACCTGCTGTTAGCGTGTTAGCATGTTGTCATGTCAGCTTCTGTTGGAAACACGCCGAGACGTCACACACTTAAACCTGAACACATTTCTGACTGTTTGCTGTCTCGAATCAGGAGACTGACGAGTTGCTGCATCAACACTGTCTGACGTGTTTCATCTGGCTGAGAACTGAAGTCTGTCAGAGCCGACAGAGAAGCTGTTTTACTGCTAATTGATGCAGGAAACAGCAGCTCTCCTGTAATATCGCTTCAAAATAGAATGATTCTCACCTGCATTACCTCACAGTAATCAGATTACTCCTACAGCAGAGTACTGTCTCCGATATCAGATTACAAACCACCAGTTCACATTCAGGCTCCACAGCAGGAACTAAAGTGAGTCCATCTTTCATTCCTGAGCTTCTCTGGTTCCTTCAGACTCAGTCCTCCTCAGCATGGAGGAGACCAGAGTCCACTAGGTTCTGCTCACATGTTCTGATGGAGGAGACCAGAGTCCACTAAGTTCTGCTCACATGTTCTGATGGAGGAGACCAGAGTCCACTAAGTTCTGCTC